AACTTTGGATTATGAGAAAAACGCTCTATATGTCGCTATGAAACTTAGATTCATTAGCGAACCGCCCCAAGCTGTAATTCAACTTAGGATTATGAGTTAACCGCACCATGTCGTGATGTAACTTAGGATTGTGAGTGAACCGCTCCAAGTTGTAATTTAACTTAGGACATATGAGTTAACCGCTCCACGTCGTGATGTAACTTAGGATTATGATTTAACCGCTCCAAGTTGTAATTTAACTTAGGATTATGAGTTAACCGCACCATGTCGTGATGTAACTTAGGATTGTGAGTGAACCGCTCCAAGTTGTAATTTAACTTAGGATATGTGAGTGAACAGCTTCATGTCGCACTGGAATCTAAGATTATGAATGAACTGTTCTCTCAAGATATATTGAACAATTTTTTTTCAAAAACTGAATTCTTCGTCGTTCGTTTGTTCTATTGCTGTGTGCTCATATGACTTATTATTTGCATCTGGTCGTTGTTTTCAGTTGATAATTTTGCTAAAAGGTGCATTTATTTAAGCGTGAATACGAGACATGTGTATTTATGCTTTTCCTTTCATCACAAGCTTTAGGAAGTTTTGTTATTATTATTATTATTATTATTATTATTATCATTATCATTATTATTATCATATTTCAAGTCTATGTCAAAATTAATATTCGATATTATAGCTGATCGACCCGGAAATATTCGGATAAAGTTACGGAAAACGAAACGTTTGTATTAGTTTACGGGTATTTTAGTTGGGAAAGATTTGTGTCGTCTGGATAATTCAGGAGCTGATTACTTTGTCCCACCATGAGGACTGTCCCTGAGGGATAAATTATGAGAGGAATTTTTCAGCTTAATTTAATCAATAAAAAGAAATGATTGATTAACTTAAAAGAACAATTTATAATCAAAAAATTTTCGTAAATAAAGAAACTATATTCACGGTGTTGATCTTCGAACGCAGTAATAAACCTTAAATTTTCTAATTCCTAAAGGATCCAAACGTATTAGTCTGTGCTGAGCTTCTTTCTACGTCGTCTATTTTCCTCAGGAGTGGCAATAGAATATTTTCACAATAACTGAAGTACTTATGTTATCTATACTCGTGTGTTCGCATGAACAACAGAAAAAAGAATTCGTCGAGGTGCATCTGCAAATTCATTGGCTTGTAACTTTTGCTTTGACGCAATTCAGGCACATAATAAAATTAAGTCCATATAGAATTACCTGACAACTGCATCGACCACATTTAAAACTCAAGTTAAAAATGCTCTAGGACAAGTCCGGACGAAAATATATCTGAATATAATTGACTTTATAATTATATTAACCAATAAATATTAAATCCAAATAAATAATAAATCCAATAAATCCAAACTCAAGCCTGACTCTTTTCTTGAATGGAATAATATACATGAAAATTTCTTTAAAAGACAACACTTCTAAAAAAGCCAGTGTCTCCAATGTTAAAGATGTACAATGAATTTCTCATTTTATTTTCGGATATTAAAAACATTCTTTTCTTTTTTAATATATAAAAAATTTTCAAAATTATTTATTCTGTCAATTGATTCATGCATTAATTGACTCCAACTTCACACAAATGTGAAAAATTTCATATCAATTGGACAGGTAAAAGTGTGTGAAATATCAATTATAAGATTTGTTGCTGACAAAATTATTTTTTCAGTTTTATTTAATATTGAAAAAAAATTTGTTTATTCATAAAATTATTTTTTTTGTCGTTTGATTCATGCATTGTCTCCAACTTTACGCAAGTGTGCAAAATTTCAGATCGATAAGATAAGTAGAAGCGTGTTAAATTGCGATTACAAGATTTGTAGCAGACAGACAAACAAACAGACAAGAAGTGAAGTTAAAGAGAAGTGTTGTAAAAAGAAATACAACACAGTTTCCTCCACATTGGATATTCTACACATAACATTCAACACTTGATATTCAACACGAATAAAATCGGAAATATGAATAGTTCAACATCAATAAGTAGGCTGACTTCAGCCTAAAATTAGGAAGAGACTCCATCATCAGGCACTAAATTTGCGATGCAACTAAAGGGTTATATACCATTTTATTGTATATTGTTATTTATCATTAAAATACATTCAATCTCCAATTAATTTGAATTCTCTAGGTCAAGTAAACGTTAAAGAAGAGAAGATTTGAAAATTTTGTATCCTTATTTGTATTTATTTTTATTAATTTCATCCGAAAACAGATAGCAGAAAAAACAAACATTGCGATTCCTAAAGATTTTCTCCGCAAGACTTCAATTTTGTTTCAAAATTGAACAATTGAATAATTTTATATTAACACAAGACACGAAATTGTACTGTATCTTCATATAATCTGATAATACAATCACACTGACAGACATCAATGCAAGTTATAATGTGCATTTCAGATTATTTTTTTGACTATTTATACATCAAGTTATTCACCATTTCAAGTTGTCGATGAACTCAATAACGTGCATAATTATTATTATATCATTTAATGTCTATGCAATAGAGCGTGGTGCAAATGGAAAGTCTGTGAACCCAAGGAATGTCCTTTTAAGATAAAGTGTAATAATGAAAATGTATATTGAAATAAAAGCTCAAATCAGCTCAGTAACTTATCTGCGCCCCCTCTGCAACGTCATAGGTCAATAAATGTGCAGTCAATTCATATTTGCTAACTTTAATTTTTTGCAAATGTTTCCACCACTCAATGCCTAATTTATTAGGGCTCATTATAAAAATAAAAAATAAGCTCCAAACTTAATAATCGCACTATATATACGAAAATGACAACAATTGGCACTATGAATTTACTTCACAGTAATAAATAACTATATATCATACTTTTAAAAATGTCATGGACTCTTATCACATGATAGAAGTAATGATGATCAAACCATCATTGATCAATACTAATCATTAATCAATAATATATGTCATGTGTAACCGAAAAGGTCGAAATCACGTTCATACTTTTGCTTCAGTTTGCGTCGCGTCTCTGCCGACAGCAGAGACAAGTATCTCTGGACAACGTCAGCCGAAGTCCCACTTTGGTTTTCATTCGACAAGCAAAACTTCTGCGCCAAAATACCTTGTACTTTTAAATGTTTGATGAAAGCGCTGACTTCATCTTGTAAGTTCTCATAACTAATTATGTATTTATAACGAACTTGACACACGTGACAATAGAGATAAATTGGCTTCCAATGTTCATCGTATTTTTCAATGTCGGTTGCTAACAAATATTGCACAAACTCTGGGAAAGTTGGGTCACGGAAAAGGTACTCCTTAGGAATTTCATGTAGTTTCTTAGAATCAAGAATCCCTTGTTTCCATTTTAAAATTCCGAAGATTTTCTGTTCAATATTTGTTCTATTTGCACCTTTGAAACTAACTCTCGTAGTAATCTGCGCTGCATTATCTTTAGAACCGCTAACAGACAAGAAAGAATTTGAGAAATCGTCCCAATGTGCCTCAATCTGTTTATATAAATGCACGTCTTCCATCTCTCGGTGCTTGTTTACTATTAAACTGCCGTAATTCTTGTAGAAATATTCTCCGTCGTGGGCCGCGTACGACAACTCGAGCTTGTTGCGGTAGGCCGACACTACCCTGTGCAGTGGGTGACGTACGATCAAGAAGCTGGCACTGCTACGTACCGCCTTCGACACTGCTTCGGGCTTCACAGGCCTAGAACAAATTATTCTATCAGCAATACAAACTTATTACTATTTCACAGCTTATAAAGAAGCATATATACTCGCTAGATATTTAATAAACTATTTAGACAATTTTTAAAATATGTTCATTGCATTTGAACTACTACATGGCCAGATATATGTTGAAGAGAGAACAGACTAACAGTATAGACGATGATATTATAGAGAATCACAAAAAGTTATGAGCATGGAAATGTATTGGAACAATGATATATACAGGAACCTTAATATGGATAACGATATTCACATGGACATGCATACATAAAACGATAAGAATTTGAGCAAAATAAATTATAATGATAGGGGCGAGCCACATCACATGCACGAATAATGATATGGGCAGAGCAATGTAAATTAATAATTTAGATTGCAACTTTAATCACGAATAACATGGCAGAGACATGCATATATAGGTATAACAACCTATCCAGGGCCATGTATGAGAAAAACAAGATGGGCAGAGACATGCATAGAAGTGACAATATGGGAATGGACATGTAAAGGAATTACTGGCTGGACCATGTATAGTATAGCTACGAGTATAACGGTACTGACAAGGCCGTGTATATGAAGATAGATTAATTAGAAAACATGTGTATGAATAATAATTTATGGAGTTAAATTCACCAGAATAACTTTTTAGGCAATAAAATGTACAGCCAAAAAGGCAGGACCCGGTGAGAGTCCTGAGCGTGGCCGAAGACAGATTAATGAGGAATGTGTATGAATAATAATTTATCGAGTTAAATTCACCAGAATAACGTTATAGGCAATAAAATGTACAGCAAAAAAGGCATGACCTGGTGAGAGTCCTGAGCGTGGCCTGTAGGAAGAGCTTAGCGGGAGCGAGGCCTGGGTCCAGACCAAGCAGAGCGCGCGCCCACGACGACGACGCAACCTGATTATTAATATTACTATATTAATATTAATATATTATTATTAATATTACTATATTAATAATAATATTACTTTTTAATATTAATATATTAATAACAATATTACTATATTAATATTATTATATTAAAAATAATATTACTATATTAATATTAATATATTAATAATAATATTAATATATTAATAATAATATTACGATATTAATATCAATATATTACTATATTGATATTATTATATTAAAAATAATATTACTATATTAATATTATTATATTAAATAAAGCTATTTATGCACGGTATTGCTCAAGAAATCGTAAGAAATTATACTAGTCCTTCTAAATTTTTCTAAACACCTATTTAATATTATTTTATTTATCACGTATGCAAAACCAAATCTATTTTCATACAATTCTAAATCGGATGAAAATATAATAATCTTTCCATATTTGTCTAAACAATAATCAATGATTATGTTATTTATCGCGTACACATAACTTGTTCTCTTTTCATACAATTCTAATTAGCTTTCTTAAAATTTGGCCGATGTGATTATTTCCTATAGTAGAATACTTATTTTAACTTAAATAAATTCCCTTTCGCTCCTCCATTCGACTGAATACGTCTGTTGAATGCTTCTTTTAGAGGCAATTGACGTTGAAATAACTTTCATTACGTGTTTTATAAACTACTTTTAATCAACAACGTTCTATCCGCAATGTTGATGCATGTGTACCTAATGTTAATTTTCGAATTTAAATAATCAGCAGCTACTAAATAAATTGTTTTAATTAAATTTGTACGGTTTTCTTCTTTCTTACCTTAGGCACTGGGCACCAAGTCAAGTTGTTGTTCAAAAAAATTAAGGACGAGCTCAGCTGTTTGAAGAACTGCATTTCTAAAATGCTGCTCATCTGATGGGATACCTAAAAAATAAATAAAAATAGATAAAAATCATGCAAATAAAAAAATCATGAGTAATGATTTGCATGATAATGTCCTGAGTGGGGGTCAATATATTCACCAATCAGGCAGGTGATTTCATGTTTAAATTGCTCAACTGTTAATAACTTTCAAGAATTATTAATATAAACGTAAGAAAATAATTTCTTAATAATGTATTACGCGCAGAAAATTGCATTGTTATACCAAGATAAACCTATAAAAGTGTTGATGCCAGTGAAAGTTTACGAATGTCGACTTCTAATTGGGTCAACTCATTAAGTTGGAATTTTTTCACTCCTTTGTTTGCTTAGCTAGAGCCATGCTTAGAGCCTTTCATATGGGACAACTTCTTGTTAATGACATCGCTATCATAGATTTATTATTTCCGTGCTTCATGGAAATTTTTTTATAGAATAAGCCTCACTTAATTTATGTCAACGCACCATGCAGAGCCGGATAAATTTAGGAGACACGATAATTGAGTTTCATAAGTAATTCTTGTCGATAAACTCCAATAAAGCGAGCTGTATGGTTTGACCCCATCATCTCGCACAACAAACCAGCCGTTCGTTCAGTTCATCTCCACAATTTAGGAGGTATTATACAATTATTTTCTATTTTGTTAACTATTTTTCCTGATTAGAACGTTAGATAAACCTTGCAAATCTGAAAATAGTTCAAGAAATCATACATATTTTCAACGGATGCATTAACCATCGTTGATGTTATTAGTAGGCAAATGCCGGGTGCTGTAATAAAAACAATTATTGTAGTCTCATACCAATCGTCAATTTTGTCAAATTCATCAATCATAGACGATAAATCGGCCTCAACGTGTTTTATAAACTTAGTAATGTGGATCTACTGCAAAACTGTTCAGTCGGTAAAAATTAACTTCAGGAATATCGGAATATATGATAAAATCGATATTTATTCGTCATTTTTTTTAAATTCTCAGTTCATAATATCCAATTTTCAATAAGTTAAACCATTTTTCTGTACTCAAAATGGCAAAATAGCAATTTTATTTGGTAAATATATATATATATATATATACATGGTTTCATGCACCTACGTTTGAGTTTTTAAGATCTGACCGCATATAATCGAAATTTTAATTTGTACTGCAATAAAAAATCAAATAAAAATTACGATGAAGATTCACCGGATACTCGGCACGCATGTCACGCTCATGTGCCGAGCGTCGGTTTCTCAGACGCCACAAAAGTTGAGTGACAATCAGAGGAGCAGAGTGGGGCTACTGAACCAGCCGGTAGTGGAAAAAGCGGGGATTGATTCTCAAGAAATTAAACGTCATGCCTGATGATTTCGACCTCAATATTAGTTAATAAAAGGTTTATTTCAGCCGCTTTTGAATGTTCATGTGTTTGTAAGTGTTTCAATTTATAATCTTAGCTCAGGAAATGGAATGTATTCATATTTATTGAGATACACAGTCGTATGTATTAGTCGGGATCAATTTCAAGAATGCTGTATTAATTTGATCAATACTCTCTTGATTCAAACATCAGGACCTGGTCGGTCGAACGCCTTTTATTACACGTGTTTCTGACCGCCACATTGACCGTCATGCGGTTGATTCCCGACGTGTTTCAGATCAGATCGACACTTCTGCGGCCGCGGTAGCAGCCACAGTTGCGACTGTCGCGGTCTCGTTATTACACACCATAGCTACGGCTTTGTATTAAATATTAAAATTGAATAAATGTGTTTTTTCCGGGATTGATAAAATATAAATGCATGGATGTATCCATTCATTCGATACACGCAGCCCATAACTAGCAAAACATTCATGACACCTGTGAATTCTTGCAAACGTTCGGGCTAAGGTATAATGATATATGCGTTTAAAAATACTTTTTAGAGACAACACTTCTAAAGAATCCAGTGTCTCCGATGTTACACATGTACAATGAATTTCTAATTTTATCGCCATATATTAAAAAAACTCATTTTTAAATTTTATTGTTAAAATTTAAAAATTTGTTCAAAAATCATTCATTCGTCAAAATCATTCATTCTGCCAATCGATTCATGCATTGTCTCTGACTTTACGCAAGTATGCAAATTTTCAGAACTGTTGGACAGGTAGAATTGTGTTAATTATCGATTATGAGATATGTAGCGAACAAAATTATTTTTTCAATTTTTTTAATATCAGAAATAAATTTTTTTAAATTTTCTAAATCATTTATTCTGTCAATTGATTCATGCATTGTCTCCAACTTTACGCAAGTGTTCAAACTTTCAGATCGATTGTACAGGTATAAGTGTTTTACGATTATTATCGTACAATTACGATTCGTATCGTATAATTTATATCGTATCGTTACGATTATTATTCGATTATATCGATTATAAGATTTGTAGCAGACAGACAAACAAACAAACAAGAAGTGAAGTTAAAGAGAAGTGTTGTAATAATATACGTTTAAAAATTACTTTTTAAAAACAACACTTCTAAAGAATCCAGTGTTTCTAATGTTACAGATGTACAATGAATTTCTAATTTTATTTCCGAATATTAAAAAATTAATTTTTCAATTTTTTTAATACATAAATTTTTTTCAAAATTATTTATTCTGTCAATTGATTCATGCATTGCCTCCAACTTCACACAAGTGTACAAAATTTCATATCAATTGGACAGGTAAAAATATGTCAAATATCAATTATAAGATTTGTAGCTGACAAAATTATTTTTTCAGTTTTTTTTTAATATTGAAAAATTATTCTTAAAATTATTTATTTTGCCATTTGATTCATGCATTGTCTCCGACTTTACGCAAAATTTCAGATTGATAGGATAAGTAGCAGTGTGTTAAATTTCGATTACAAGGTTTGTAGCAGACAGACAAACAGACAAACAAGAAGTGAAGTTAAAGAGAAGTGTTGTAAAAAATGACATCAACTTACTCCGAAACAAAAAACAGCGTGATTCATTGAAAAAAAATGTATATATATATATATATATATTTGTATATTAGAAATATAATATCAACATATAATATATAATATCAACTTGTACTCACATTCTTCATTTCTGAAGCTCTAATCAAGAGTTCAGGCTGAGGAGGCGGACGACTACGACATCGTCTCCACACGTCGTCCGCTCGCGACCGAAGATACGAGGCGTTCAGAAACTCCGGACCGGACATGTCCGTCTGTCCGTCCGTGACTTCACGTTTTCGTCGACGAGAAAATGCGCTCTCTGTCACTCACTGCAGTGAGTACTGAGTTATATTTTTTTCAAATTTACGCAGATTTTTGAAAATTATTGCCTCCAAAAATACTAGCACCAAGCAAGAATGCCGAATTTCTCAGCTATAAGGCTCGAATAGTTTGATAAGACCGTATTCAGTATCGGACTGATTAGAGCATCAATCAAATATGAGTTTGAAAAATAATTGAGCTGAAAACACGAGAGCCATTGCGTCACATCTTAGACCGCCTAAGTTTCAACTCAAGATTTTTATTAACACTTACACCTTAATTGAAACAAATAAACTGCAATAATTCCTGTCCACCTGTTTATACCCAATTTATACTGTCCACCCAATAATTCCTGTTCAAGAACAGACTAGATAAAGCTATGGAAAAATATATGTTCAGATTTGAAATGCCTAGCTCCTTATCGAACCCGGTGGAAGTCTAGTAGCTTCTTCAAACTATCGCCAGTCATGAAAAGATCCGGTCAAATGACACGAGTTTAGATCTATGAACAAGGCACGAAATGGAAAAGAATCGGCGACAGGCCACATCAGGCCTACACTTCAGAGCCGACATCACTATGTTATGTTATGTTATAACACGAGCGTGCTCTATGGGCACAGCAAGCGTTGATTGCCTCTATAAATCGCATGAAACTTTTACGTATCTTGCACCTAAATGTTTGAAATCAAACAGTTACACAGATTTCATGAACTAACGCGACGATGCACGTCTTTCTCCCAGCGCCGTCAGCGCCGTTATGAAGATCATATCCTAAACCCGGGGCTGAGGTTGCCAACGCCGCTGCCCTGCCAGAGTTCAATATACGTACATGTCCGTTATACCGTAAAAATATCTGCTCAACAGCATGTCTAGATCTAATATCTTTTTTGAATCGTAAATCCTCCCTAGACTACGAAAGAATGTTTTTAATTCACTTTCAAACACGTTAATTTGATTAACTTTCCACAATAAAAATCGTTTAGTATCCTATGGCCTCGCATACAGAGGTTATACCCGTAAAAATATCTGCTCAACAGCACATCTAGATCTAATAACTTTTTTCAATCGTAAATCCTTTCTAGACTAAAACAGGATTTTTTAATTCGCGTCCAAATACGTCAATTTGATTAACTTTCCACGATAAAAATTGTTTAGTATCCTATGGCATCGCATACAGAGTTCAAAGAACTTGCATTACAGGCTCAGCCTCTCGNCAGCCTGACGGGCGCTCAGTGCCTGGATAATCTGCTCCAGAGTCGGAGGATCATATCCCGTAGTGACAGTGAAGTTCTTTAATTTTTCTCTGATGGGTTACTATTTTACGTGACTATTAAATGTGCTTAAAAGTTATCTAAACCAATACACAGATCACAACCGCTAATGGAGGAAGTTTAAAGAGGTATAAATGGCTGCGAAGAAAGCAGTCTGAGTGTGACGGATTTTGCTGATATTGCAGGGTCTCCCGTTAGGTGACCTAACGCAAGATGATAAATCCGTATAGTCCGGTAAACACTGACGCCATTGAGCAATTAAAAAAAATATTGTTTTTCTGGTTTCGTGATCTAGTTAGAAAATTTATTTCCTCTTACTTATTATCATGAACAATGAAATATATGCAACATTTCGTATAATTATCTCAAATTCGTACTATGTTTCCCTCTTATTTCGATTACGAAAAATGTGGTTTTCATTACTTCTGTCGTGGCGTCGATTATTTCACGATGTTCTCATGTTCTTTAATCGCAATTTTAATCACCTTATGTCTAATTATTACGATTTAAGAGTGATATCTTATTCTTTAAAATTTTCGTCCTTATTGCGATAACAGATAACAATAATTTGATTAATTAATTTCATTGCAAAACTGCGTTCATATCACAAGGAACAGTTCGATCAATCACTCGTCGTTGCGTCTACCTCTCTCCACATTATATTCATATAGACACCTACCATGAGTGTATCAGGAGTGCTCAGGAAAGTGTCAAAACTGCTGCCAAGTTTGCTGCAGGTCGTCTTCATAATCGTGGTGCTGCATCTGGTGTCCAAGGTAGTACATAAATTACCAAACGTAGTTTCGATAAATTTTTCAGTTATATTTTAGTTGAATGTGAAATAAGCAAAGTGTTCAAACTAATTTTTTACAAGTCAAGTTGAATCCGCAGTTAATTGAGATTAGTTGAAAATTATTTAGGGCCTTTATATTAATCTTTATATTAATTAATTTGAATATGTATCGTTGCATCGACGACTGGTATTTAAAAAATTGGACGCTAATAGGAACCAAATTTCTTCAGGTATATTAGTTTGCTTAACCTTAAGAAAGTCAAATTCATTATTTTGACCGTTGCCACAGGTGCAACGGAAAAAGAAAAAAAATAGCAATTGAGATGTAACCATGATATTCCAATATATTATGTTTGGAACTCAATCTGTGTAAGCGCATTTCATCGAAATTTGCAAAGCCGGCCGTTACTCACAAATTTCCGTTAATTGACTTATGATTATTAAAATTCCGCAGAGCATGATAAGAGCATTCGAATTCTACTGCGAGAAAGAACGAGATGCTTTCTGCTGCCGATTTTAAATAACCTTTGACATTGACTTTTAATAACATGGCAGTTGATTTGAATTTAGAACAACGCGATAAATTTGTTCACAAAAACATTACGAGTTATATATTGTTTTTAGCATTTTGTTTATAATTGTGCCTCTAATTTAGAACGGAATTTTTATAATAATGCGAAATGTACTATGCTCTGAAGAATGATCATGAATTACGGTGGAAATTCAGACTTGTTGAAGGAGCGAAGCTGAGCGTTCCGGCCAATTCCATTTTCCTGATAATTCTGACTGTTTCTAAACTGTTAATGTTTATTATTGTTAAATATAATGTTTAAATTAACTCACTAGTTAATTAAATCTCGGTTCATTTGCCAAAATTTAATGATCATTACTAAAAGCATCAAACAGAGAGGAATTTTTCTTCTTCTTCGATTTATTGCCTGTGTTATTATCAGATTTTCACCGATCTTATCCAATTTCTGAATCAAAGTTTGCCAATCCTCTCAATTATAAGAATTTATGTAAATGACATTTTTATTAAAAAGTAATTAGCATACAATAAACTTCATTGAAATGATATTTTTATTAAAAATTAATTAGCATACAATAAACTTCATTGAAACAAACTTAAAAAAAAATAAATTGTAATTGACATAAATTCGTATCTGAATATGTTTTATTCCAGGGCTTGATAACAAAAGCGCGCAGGTCTCTGCGACAGGCTCTTGCAAGCCACTACGACGCACACGTCGACAGCCTCGTCCCCCACCACGTCTTCCGGAGAAGGCAACTCATGCGACCAAATCTCGCCAACTATCAAAAATGGAATCAAAAATTGAAAATTCCCAAGCCTCGTTTCACGCAGGGGAAGAAACGGCGTCATGAGCGAACGCAAGGAACCAGCACGAAACGGCCGCTGCTGGAGTTCCAGGATTGGCATGGAATTATGGAGAAAAGGATGTTGGAATTGCGCTCTGCATGTGCCAGGTCGGTACGCATTAGCCATTGTTTAGTGGTGTAAGAAGTGTGAAGAGATACTGATTTTTACTCGTGCTTATTTGTAGTATACATGGAATTATTTTACCTGATGTGTTTTTTTTAAATGAGAATACCTCGACTAATTGATAATTGTTGATAAATTGACGCACCTGCATGACGCAGCTTCCATCTTTGTGCCGTATATACCACCTCTGCTGTTGCCAATTGAAACCGTATCCTGAAACGATAAACCGCATACTCGAATGAAAAACAGCATCCTCGAACGACAAACCGATACCCGAACGATAACCCTTATACTCAATAACCCTTATACTCAAACCCAAACGAAAATTCGTATACCCGAACGATAAACCGTATCCTCGAACGATCAACTGTGTACTCGAACGATGAACCATTTACTCGCACCATAAACCATATATACTCCAACGATAATTGCTGTCTCGAGTCCTTTACTGGAAGCATATTACAGCCGACTTCGTGTTTGTAAAATACAAGTTTGGTTGCTTCTGGTGTTTACGAGTCGATTGTTGTAGCTTTTATTCATTCGGGTTTCGTGACAATTATTTCGATTGAAAAGACCAGAGGACTTTGATATACGATGAAATTGATTCGTCAAAATCAATCTAATGAAAAATACGGAATAAAACGCGAAATTAGAACTCTTTCTTTCGGTCAAGATAGTTTATTTTCTTGACATGTACCCCTATGTAAACCTACATTCTAGCGCTGATGACTTCTTTTAATGAATTATTTATTTTTTCAGATTGGGCCTCGGGTTATGGAAGCTCGACTCATCCACACGTCCTTCCAGTCCAGAATATCAGTCCATTTACGTCCCAACGAGTCCTTCATATCAGTCCTTATTCGTGTCCCGGGACCGAAACCTAACATTTTGTCCCGTTTCCAACTCCGGGTCCAACTGGATCTCGAAGAGGCTGTTGGAACTCACGGAGGAGTTCACAAGAGATGAACTCGAAGAGCGACTACCAAGCCCGCCCTCAGTCCTCGCTCGACATCTCTACCCTTTTCTGCCTTCTTGGGAACTTTACCCGAAATTTTTAAACCAGTCCACTAATATCATTATTGTTCGACATCCCTTTGATCGGATACTGCATTACTATCGCAGGTCACTCGAGAATCCAAAGAAAAATCCGAGTGAGTATTTAAAGTTTGGCCGAAAGATTGTCAACAAATATCGAAAAATTCCAGTCCACAAGAAACAGCCAACGTTCGGTGAGTTTGTTCAGTTTTTACTTGATTTGAATTTAGGAAATACGGAAGAACAATGGCGTTCTATCATGCGGAAGTGCACACCGTGTCACATTCCATACAATATCATTGGGCATTATGAAACGCTGTGGCAAGACGCCGTGCATGCTTGGAAAACGGCCAACATTTCGGTTGAAGTCCCCGCGTTCACTGAGACCGAAGTCACTCCTGAAATCCGAAAGCTGTATTTTTCCCGGGTGAAAAAAGACCATTTACTGAAGCTGCACGAAAAATATATATTTGATTTCCAGCTTTTCGGGTATAATATCAGTGAACATTTATCGTACGCTCATAACCTCGAAGAATCTGTCATCACTTCTACGATAGCGACCACGGAATTGCCGAACTACGAAATGACTTCGGATGATAACATTTGAACACTGAATGTCAAGTTCGTTTTTGTTTAAAAAGTACTCAAGTTACTTGATTGCTTAAATCGAAAATTTACATGGAATATAAAAAAAAGAAGATAGTACAATAGTTCACAGTATCTTTATAAAAAAATTTCGGAGTCCAGCTCCATCGTCATTTCGACAATCCTAGAATGTAAGTACAATTAATTATATATTCAAAATTTACAGTCATTATAGCCAAAATTGGCAAATGAAATAATACAAATTGGGAAATTAAAGACTGCCTATCTATTTACAATCTCATTTTTTATATGAAGGTATAGTGAATTTCCGGGCCATCTTCATTGTTTTTAATTCCTGGTACGTTTTTAAGTTTCATTTAAAGCAATTGAGAGCCCAGTTCTGAAATTGAAAAATTTCCTTCCTTTCATTTAATTCAATTAACAAATTTTCAACAAAATTATTAATGCTTGAATGAACGAAAATCATTTCAGCACACATGAGTGTCATTCTTTTATCATTTCCGATCTCATTAACCATTTCACATAACTATCACTTCATTGAAGTATATTTTTCACACATCATTCACCAAAAAAGTCAATATAAGTTGGCGACGAATTATCGCCCTCTCTTTCTTTTCAATTCCGCTTGCCATAAATTTTCATTTTTTCTCTGTGAAATTCGGGACCAATGATTAATCAATTCCAACATCGCTAATAATTAATCAGTACAAACTATTTCCTTGTATTTTCATCTGTATTTTCATCGTATCTCTTTCATCAAAATCATCTGTATAGGGAACCTTTCAGGCCATTCCTGCGACGATGCCGCTGATCGTTGAATCTTGCCTCGAAAATTCGTCCAGAATTAAAGGAAGTAATATCGACCAGGTTCTATATATTTCAATTATAAACATAAATCAGGGATTAATTTATATTAACAAATTTCTTATTATTCTTAGAACAATAAGTAAATATCTAAAAAATAATATTTTGATTATATTTTGATGCTTAATTAAAAGTAGATAATTTCTATTTGAAAAGTTTCCTTTCATGTTTTATTTGTTTATCTGAAGGAAAAGGCAGTCATATGAAAATAAGCTCATAATTTAGTGAGACTATAGAATCTTAACTCGAGTCTAAATGTACTCCTACCACAAAATCCATTTAAAGATCTATGTTTTTCATTCGTGCGATTCGTCACCATCGTATTTATTCAGCAGATGTCTATAATAAATATAAAATGCAACAAACTTGTCACATTTGTTGTAGCATTATTAACTTTCATCTTCGGTTAGGTAATATTCGTTCATAACTTTCTTGAACTAATGTAATAAAACCGTTATGTCTGTTTTCATGTCCTATAGCTGTTATTCGGCTAAATGAAGACTAAATAATAATAAATTGACATCCATTGGGCAGTGACTAGCTGATGGTCGGCGGCTGTCACTGTTCCATAGCATAATCAGAACATTGAGGAACTTATTCAATTCAAACACGCCATAACGCACCAAAACGCAATTATACTTAGAATTATTATAATATAGTTTATTAATTTCATAGTTTTCCGTATTTATTAACCGACAGAAGATCTTTTAGATCTAAAATAAGGCTAAATGAGTGCATATTAATTTGTGATAGTTTATAAAATGGCATACCCTCTAAATTCAACATAGAAAACCATTCATCAAAGAAAACGGTGATGTGGGAGTTGAGGGGGTGAGGGAGTGAAATGTGGCATGGGTGCATTTCGGAGGCTCAAACCAAGTGCCAAGTTGCGCTTCGCAACAGCGCTTCATAACACTAGTGTCTCAGATCTGACAACTGGAAAGAAAAGATTTCGGAAAAGAAAGACATCACTTGGCATTTAAGAGAATATAAATATAACTTATTACCAACAAAAAGGTTTCTACACAAGAATAATAATGAATAATTTACGGATTATGTTTAGTTTCTAATTATAAGATGAGTAAAAAAATTTGCGTGAACGCGCACCTGTCGCCTACCTCCTAGATTTAATGTTGGAATTTATTGACTTTAAAGAGCTTGTCGTGAAATTGTTTGTAATTTCAGTGCAATAAGTGTTTAATTCATGATACCTGATCGTTACAATCCCAAAAGTATTTATAATACGTTTCATAGAGTGAAAATTCCTCCCCATTTTTCACCCCCTTCCTCCCATCCCTGAGCCCCACGAAGCGCGTTCAACTTGAACATGGGGAGTGTCGACTGAATTACGTTGAATATCAAACAAATCCAGTATCATTGTCATTGAAGTGGAAGCAATTTGAATAATAAAGTGAAATTTATTCATGATTTAGCACATATGTAGCAAATATCACATTTTTGCAGATATTCTGCTACGTGTGTAGAGCCAATTGGAAAACTTACGGGAACAATACCTTCTAATCAAGATTTAATAATAGAAAATGATAATTACAATATAAAAAATCGGTAACGAACGCAATTTTTCCTCTAATGAACATTGTATTCAATTCTCAATCATTGGGAAAATTTCTAAATCCTATAATGAACCATGAGTCGGTGTGGCATCCTCAGTCTCTCCGTGAACGCACTGGTATAGCTGCGCGTCCAATCGCGTCGTGTTATGAAGCGCTGTTGTCGGAGGTCGGAGTGGGGAGCGAAATGATGAACTGAGCCGCTGTCGCCCTGAAGAAGCGGGGGAGAGATGTGAAGGTTTTCAGGTATTCTTCTTTCCTTTCAGCAAATGAACGAAAAAATTGGGCAGCAGCAGGAAGACCCCGCCAGTAACGACTGAAGGTGGCGGGAGATCATCTGAGCCCCGGGCCTGCTATGTATGCTGCGCTGCCGACTGCTTTGTCGGCGGAGAGTTACTGTCTGCTGCAGCTGCTGCTGCGTGCGTGCAGCAGCTGCGTGCCGCGGATGTTAACTGCCGCTGCTACTAGTATTGCACGCTGCTGCTGCTGCAGCTGCTGCTGATACTGATGCTGTTGCTGCATCCTACTGCCGCATCATTACAAATGACGATAAACAGCATAACGGTGTTGCCTTCGTTTCGTTGTACTACTACAAATTTGTACATGGCATGGAAAACTTGTCTAATGTCTATTTTATTTTCGAAATAAATTATAGTAACACGCTGAAATTCAACGAGATTCCATGCTAACATCCTAATTTCCAATCCAACGAGAATCCAACGAGATTCCCTTATAGTAGTTACTGTGATTTTTTTTCATTACAATGTTATATCATTTCTAAAATGAAACCTACAGACTCTATCTATTTAATAATATACCAGTAATTTTAGCGCATTTTCTCATTTATGGAATAAAACACTATTGTGCTCGCCATATCTGTCCGTCTGTCCGTGACTTCACGTTTTCGTCGACGAGAATATGCGCTCTCTGTCACTCACTGCAGTGAGTACTGAGTTATATTTTTTCATTTTTCATGCGATTAATAATGATCCGCTATTTAATTCAACCGGGTATCTCCATAAATGGAACTGTTATCAATAGTGCTTCGTATTGTAATGGGCTGCACTATTTGAGAGTTAACAATTCCTACGTTCGGTTATAAAATAAAACATTGATATTCCCTATACACGGAAAATGGAATGCTCTGTATTTACATGAAATAGACAGACTTGAGTGAGAGTTCAATCCTATATGCTACAACAACGATCGACTAGCACAAACTATTTACGTCAACTATTCTATTTTTCTTCTTTCCATATAGGAGCTTACAATGAGTTGCTTTTACTTCTCTTCATCGCAATCTTGATCGCTAATTTTTTTCGTATTAAACTGATAATCTAGCTTTATCAATATTATTTTGGTTCAATGTAGGTTTGATCAATATGTGTTTTGGTTCATATTGTACTTTTGATAGATATTTGTTTTGGTTCATTGTAATCATGATCGATATTTGTTTTGGTCCATTGTAATCTTGATCGATATTTGTTTTGCTTCAAAGTAATTTTGGTCGCTATTTGTTTTGGGCCATAGTAATATTGATCTATATTTATTTTGGTTCATTGTAGTTTTGATCGATATATAGGTTTTATTTCATATTTCATTCTTGATTCATAACAACCGCGCTCGATAGTTCCCGCGTGCTTCATATCAATCCTCTTTCATCTATCAATGTCGTTATCAAAAATGTTCAACATTTCTCAATATTCATTCAATTCTTATTTACTTGCATCAAATTTATTTCATATTTATTTGCATCTCGTTTATTTAATTATCATTTGCATCTTATGTACGTAACCGCTATTATAAATATCGTGAAATTATAAACGAACAAAGAAAGCATGATCTATTTAAATTATCAACAATTTAACTTAACAGGAAGGAATAAATCATGGTTGGACAATTGTTGAAATGCTTACAATATATTGTTAATGGTTGAACTGTGTTCCAACTTACCGTGAGAGGTCAAATCATGCTTGAACAATGGTATAAATTGTATAGCCCTATTAAAATGCTTCCACTTTATCGGAAACTGTTGAACCTTGTTTGATATTTTCAAGCGTCATTTGATGAAGTAAAAACGTACTTAAAGTTGCAAGTAGTAACGCTAATCGTACGGAATGTTATCTATTCGGTGCCCATTTAAACTCGCCGTGGATTTACGTCCCATAAATTTGGACCTGTTCGATGAACTAGGCGCCTGTCGCGCCGTCAATGCCGGCGCACACAAATTTCTTGAATTTTTGTTAATTTAAACGCTGCCTTCAAATATTTTGGCCTTCGTTCTTGATCGGGTCCAAACATCTGGTAGGAATACCATGCACACCACGCACCAAGTTTATGGTATTGAATGTGAAAGTAACACCACCAAATATGTGGTAGAAATACCACGCACCAAACATGTGGTATTGTGCGGTTTTTAGATCAATGCAATTCCTAGGCAAGCGTCATTGGTAACGTTTATTTTCAGTCGAATATCTTACCTGCGTATGAAAAAATGATGAATAACACATAGTTAATATGGAGTTACGCAATTGCGTCCTTTATTGAGCACCGAATGAAAAATATT